CTCAGGAATTCACGACTCATGCGACGACCGGGTGTCCAACTGAAACGTATAATGGCATTTAACGAAGAGGAATCGTGTGGTAGCCGAGGCACACCGAGAGCTTGCTCCAAATTGCTAGGTCAGGCTAATGTCGAAACGAAACGAAGGACGGGAACCGGGGACAGGGAACCGGGGTCTCGGTATTGTTCCGACACCCTTCTCCTTCGCGGCGATGGCTCGTGGGAACACGCCTCTTTTTTTCTCTCTCTCTCTCTCTCTCTCTCTCTCTCTTCTTTGCCCATTATCTGCTCGAGCAAGCTCGCCCGATATTTTCATCCTTTCTCGAAATAACGATTTCCCTTTGTTGCAGCCGCGCGGTGGCGACCACCTGACTGGGACGGATCCTCCGAGGCGGCCCGCAGCTACCATCCCGCTACCATCCGTTCGTTCCCCCTGCGAGCAGACCCCGCTCGAGGAAATCGGTATCGACCACGATGAAAATGGGAGATCGAAAGGGGAGGGACGAGGCGCAACAACGAACCGAGTCGAAGGTGGGCTAAACGAAGCACGGCTAGTCCCTGAAAACTGGTCTGGGGGAGAGAGAGACGCGCGGCCTTAGGACCACAGGAGAGTCGGAGGAGCGGCATTCCCCGGTAATTAGTCTCACCCATAAATTACTGGCTATTCCGTGTCTGTGTTGGTCACAACTCGGTAACGTCCTCGCTTCCTCCTCCACCTCCGTCTCCGTCTTCCTCCCGTTCTCCTTCTCATTCCCCGCGCAGCTCCTACCCATTCCCATTTCCACTCTTTTTTTCGCGTTTCTGCTCGCCTCTTCTGCTCGCTATTTTAACACTAGCCGTACCGAGCGTCAGGAGTCGCTGGCACGCGGTGCCTTGCGAAGGTTGCAGGATCGAATTTACTTGGATCATTGCATTGGTACGCAAAGCCCGAATCGACAACATTTGTTTCGTGGTTTCCGGTACGAGTATTTATCGTAACTTCGGCATAATTGCAAGCGTTCTTGAAATTCGCGGCTTTTAAGTCCGGTGCCCCGATGCATCCTACCGATCACGACCCAATTATCCATCGATCCGACCTTTCGTCTTTAAAATCCAGAAGAGCGACTGCTGATTTATTACCTCTCTTTGAATGATCAGTTCTACTCCTCTACGTGCTGTCGATTTCTACGTCCGTAATTACTGCAAAATAACTGACCTACTTGGCGTTCCGTTGCACGTATTTTGCAGATCTGTTTCAACAACATTGCAACTCCCGCATTTATTCAATTAGTCTATGCAAAGCGACGAATACTTCGAGTTTACGAATAAAAAAGAAATTAAATGAAATATCAATAATCGTCGAATAAAAATAAAAATCCCCATTTATTCGATTAGTCTATGCAAAGCGACAAATACTTCGAGTTTACGAATAAAAAAAACGTAAATGAAATGTCAATATATATATAATATATCGTCGAATAAAAATAAAAATCCGCATTTATTCGACTAGTCTATGCAAAGCGGTGAATACTTTGAGTTTACGAATAAAAAAGAATTAAATGAAATATCAATAATCGTCGAATAAAAATAAAACTCCGCATTTATTCGATTAGTCTATGCAAAGCGACGAATACTTCGAGAGTTTACGAATAAAAAAGAAATCAAATGAAATGTCAATAATCGTGGAATAAAAATTGCCGGCCAATGGTACGATTAATGGTCGAGCTACCGCGAAACGCGGCTCTCGCTGTTTCAGCCGTGCAAACGCGGCGATGGGAGAACGATCGCCGCGGTCGAAGGAACCCGGTGGCTGCAGCGAAATTCGAATTCGGATTCCGATTAGGATTCGAGTCTATGGGAACGAAACGAACTCGTCTTTGCCGTAGGTCCACGGGTCTGGTCCGATCCGAGAGGATCTCTCGAGCCGCCGAAGGGGCACAGGACCCCGCTGCTAAATGAGCTGTAATACGGACCCCCGCTGACCCCCTTGCACTCCGGGCACCTTCGCTCTTCCTCCTACTACTCTCCTCGTTCTTCCGATGCTCGTCCCATCCTCGTCCTTCCCCCTGCGAGCTGTTTGTCGGTCTCCTTCCACACGGCCTCCCTCCGCCGCCGCCGCCGCCGCCGCCGCGCTGCACTAAACTCTCCTCGCTCCTCGAGGTAGGATTCGACGGTAATGATACGACCACGACCAGACAACTCCTTTTACCGTCGCTCTTCCTCGCCTTTTCTTTTCCTGGTTCTTTTCATCGTCGTTGTTATCGCTGGCCCCATCCTCGCACGACCCGCGCGCTTTGTCGGCGGCGGATCCTCGGAATCGATCCTCGGGAAAGCCGCGGCTTCCATCCGTTTTGCTACCGCGGAACCGTGGAATGGAACGGTTTCTGATTCCGCGAACTAACGGAGAACGATCGCGACATCGAGGCCATCTTCTTTCTTTCTTTCTCTCTCTCCCTCTATCTTTCTTTCTCTCGGTCAACGAAGCAATTGACCCATAGAACGAGATCCGGCAATTAGGTCACTCTCGATCCGTCTCGCTTCTATCTGGGGCAGGACGGCGAACGAAGGAGGACTAGTCTGCCGGCAAACCGGTAGGGAGGCAACTTCCTGGTGACGATGCCTGCGTGGATCGCGGACGAGGATCCTCGCCACCCCGGTGGTATCGATGCGGTTTCCGAAAAGGAGATGTACTCTGGTGGATCGGGCCGATCGTCGGGTTGGGCTCTCGAAGCAGCCGCGGCCACGTCGTGGCGGCGGAGATGAAAAGGATGTAGCGAGCCACACGCCGATAGCTTAAGCCCTCGATAGCCCTGTACGATGCGCCTCCGCCGTGTACCGTGTACCGTGTACCGTGTACCCCGCCTCGGCTCCGGCACGATCGGAGGGAGACCAGGTGAAGACCAGGGAGAGAGATCAGGTTGGAGAAGCGTTCCTGGCGAAAGGCTGGCTCTCGCGCTCGTGCTCCGCAGAACCGACAGGAATAGGTGGAGGGGGAGGGGGGGCAGAACGACCAAGAGGACGATGCGCTACCGAGTTTAGGATCGAATTGCAGGGTGCGAGCAGAATGTCATTGTAACCGATATCGGCCCGCCGAGGTGGCGCTCGCCACGAGGAAAAGGAGGCTGGATCCTCGGACGGTCCTCGAAAGGATTTGCTCGGCCATGCGTGTGCAGGGACCTTCGAGCCCTTCGGAGGAGCCCCTCGAGAGGAAGACGAGGAAGCGTCGGAGCGGGGGGTGGGTCCGGGCTAATCGTCTTAAATCGCGGCATTTCGCTCGCGGAGCTGAAGAAAGGTCGAGAAAAGAAAACGATAGCGGTGCGACCGAGAGTCCTCCCTCCGCGATCTCTCTCTCTCTCTCTCTCTCTCTCTCTCTTGCTCTCTCTCTCTCTCTCTTTCTCGGCGGCAGGTTGCGAAGCGGAGAGGAGCCGAGCCGAGAGGTTCTACGGAGAGTTAAAAGAGGAAAAGAGGGGCTCGGTTGCGTCTCGTTGCCGCCGAGCGGCGCTCACCTGCCTAGTCCGCAACAGTCTCGTACGGTTCGCTCCGACCGGGAGCCTCGTCGCCGATCACGGACCAACGATTCTCCTCTCCTCTCCCCTACCATCGACTCTGCTTTCCACCTCCGCACGATCGCGCCACGCCGCGCGAGCTTTTCGACCTTCTTCCTTCACCCTTCTCTCACCCTTTCGCCCTCTCGTCCTTACCGCCTCGCTGCTTCCTCTCCTTCCGATCCTCTTCGCGCCCCTTCCCCGGCATTCGCCGATTTCCACCTTGGTTCTTCTCCGTTCCGTCCCAATTTCCTCTCTCTCTCTCTCTCTCTCTCTCTCTCTCTCTCTTCCTCTGTCTCTTTCTCTCTCGGTTTCTCCTCACGTTCGTCCCCGTTCAGCCCTTCTCGCACCGTCCTGGGAAAAGAAAATCTGCCTCCGCGTTCTCGATCCCGTGTTCGATCGGCTCGAGATCCGGTTCGCGCGGCGACGGGGGTATGTCGTCGCGTCTCGTGGACCGAGCCCGACGCCGCGACGGTGGTGAGGCTGACGTCGACGTCGACGTCGATGGTGCAGTGAACGTGCTAACGGTGGTGTCGTAGAGGAACACGGTCGCGGCCCGGGGGTAGGAGAATCGGCGGCGGCGGCGGAAAAATAAAACGATTATAGACGAGGAACACCACGAGGAAGAGAACGAAGAGGACGAGGAAGAGGCAGCGAGAACCGAGGCGAATGGTGGGGCAGATGTTCTCTACTCTGCTCGGTACATTTCTGGTGGGGGTAAGGCAACACTCAAAGTTCGTGGTGACGTAGTTCTGGCAGGAACGCGACGAGTTTTTGTCCCCGCCGGAAGAAAACGGCAGCTTCCTAGATTCGGACCGCGTCGGGCCGGCCGCGCTCGAGATCGAGATCGAGAACCGGGACGAACGGGGAACCGGGTCGACGGAATCGCGAGTTTCGGGATCGCGAGTCGGGGGACTGCGAGTCGCGGAGGGGGTTGGAAAACCGCGGGAAAAAGTGGAGACGGCGGAACGGGAAAATTAACCAGGGAAGGGGGAACGAAACCGGAAGAACAGAGAGAGAGAGAGAGAGGCTCGCCTTCCTTCCGGCTGCTGGTTGATCGGTCGTCGCGACAGCGGCCATTTGCAATCCATTACGGCGGCGGCGGCGGCGGCGGCGGCGGATTACGAGCCGGCTTGCAAAACAGACCGTACAACTTGCTTGTTTTTCCAATGGTTTCGCGGTAGTCCGGAAAGCGGAGATCATGAAGATTCGACGCACTCAATATTTATATCCGCCAGCGTGTTTCAAAGAGGCTGTTTCCCTTTGATCGGCGCTATCCCGAGGCCGCTAACAGCCGCAGAAAAAGTCGTGGAAGAAGACCAGGCGGTGGAGGTGAAGGAAGAAGAGGGCTGCGACCACGTCGAGGAACATCGCCAGCAGCAGCAGCCTCAGCAGCAGCAGCAGCAGCAGCAGCATCGGCATCGGCAGCAAGAGGAGGAAGAGGAAGAGCAGCAAGAGGAGGAGGAGGAGGAGAAGGACGAAGAAGAAGAAGAGGAAGAAGAAGAAGAAGAAGAAGAAGAAGAAGAAGAAGAACACGATCGTGCTTCGGTGAAGTGTCGACAGAAGCAAAGACCAGATACGAGAAAGTAGTCGAGAGTGAACGGTCGAGGAGATCGGGTGCTCGATAAAGAATTTCTCCTACGAGACGCACGAGGAGGAGGACGCACCGTCTCTCGGACATTTCCGTAAAGAAGCCGCGCGATCGAACTCGCCGACTCGCCGCGCGTCGTTCGACGGTTCGCCCGTAGGTCAGGAATCCGACGCAGCCGCGCCGACGCAGCGTTTCGATTTCTCGGAAGATCGGCGCCGATCGCACCCCGCGTCCGGTGCCCGACGACACCCAGAATCGCCGGAGGAAGGAAACAATCGGCGATCGTCGAGAAGCTGCTCCGCGGGGCGGAGGGGATGGAGATGCGCCTCGTTCTCGTGGCGGTCTGCCTCCTTCTCGTCACCCCAATCGCCGGCTCGTTCTGGTACGTATTTCACTTCCGACGAAATCACTCCCGCCGGATCTCGTCGATCGCGTCCCGTTTCTACCGTCGCGACGGCGGACTTCTTTCTCCTCGCGATAGTTAACACCGCGCTCGAGCCGCGGCGGTCCGTCCGGTAACGCGAGCGCGTCGCGTCGCTGTAATCGCGAACGTTACACTCTTACGCGGGTAATTACGCGCGCGCGGGAAACGGTCGGTCCGCGGGAGCGGTTAACGTCGGTACTTTCCAAACGTGACGAACTAACGAGTGCTCCAGTTCCGAAGTGCGTCATCTGGGTTATCAATTACGCGGCGCGTTACGGGCACGCGGAATGATTAATGACGCCATAAATCCACCTTTGGTAGTTACTGCTGCTCTCCCCCGTGAGTAACCTGTCCCGGGATTTACGATTTCATTTCTCCCCGGTTAAATTGCTCGTGTTACGTCGCGTCGCCGGGAAATCTTGCCGCTGTCCGTCCCCGTGCTCGTCCGGGGACGGTTCGCGATCCCGGCGGTTCGCGAAATCTCGGCGAACCGCGGATCCGTGGCCGCCGAGCGACGCTCTCGCCTCGTGACTGCTACTCGTCGCCTGTTGCTCGCTAGGTATCTCGGGGAACAGTAAATTATTCGGTAGCTCGAGCCGCGCGATGCGTGCCCGCGTTTATTGCGTAAATATTTGTACGACGATAGACCGTTATCGCTTGCCCTGCCATCCAAGGTTCCAGCATCCAGAGACGAGCCGAGCCTCGTAAACGTTCTCCACCGATCGTACCTCGTCCTCGTACTCGCCGCCTCGTCTCTCGAGTTCGCGTTCGACGAACGCGTTTTCGGCGTGGATTTTCTTCGAGAAACTCGTTTTCGCGCGGATCGTCTCGACTCGCGCAGGTAAAAACCGGCGAAACTCTGTGAACGCTGGGGGCCGAAAGGTGACGGAGGTCTCTCCCAAAGGTCGAGCAAATATTTGTCAACGATTTAAAGGGGATTTCTGCGCGCAGTCGCCGGTGTACCGTCGCGCCTCGCCCACCTACCTGTCCGCGTCGACCACACGACCGAGTGTTTGATAAATCTATTAGAACGTTCGTGGTTTGTTTCGACGACAGGTATTTAACAGGTATTTAAGCGGGTTCGAGGAACCTTTCTCGCGAGCGTTTCTCGATTTTTTATTTTTTCCGGCGGCGACGTCGCGACGTCCGTGAGACGGTTTATCGATCGTTCGCGGGCCTCCTCCGTCCGAATTCGAGGGCCGATTACTCGATCGGAACCGGATTCTCTCTCTTCCTCTCCTCCAATCTTCCGCACTCTCTCTCTCTATCTCTCTCTCAACCGAGATTCCCCGGTTTTTTCGCGACGAATACTATCCTATTCTCATTCCCCTCGTTTCGCTGGTTGCTCCGCAAATCTTGGCCGAGAGACGCGCGCGGCCGGATCCGTACGATCCACGGGAAAGAACAAAGAGGACCGAACGAGCGAACGAGTAAAGAGGCAAAGAAGCGAGCCAGCGAGGATGGACAATGGTCTCGCTCGGAGCGTCACCGTAAATCTCGTCGGGCGCGTATAATTTGTAAGTCGGCAGCAGCCCCGTTTCGTCTCTTTTTCTCCAGCTTCCGCGCTGTCCCGCTTCGCCGTTTCTCTCTCCCTCTCTCTCTCTCTCTCTCTCTCTGTCTCCGTTTCGCGCCGGTTAAACCGCGATCCGTCTTGAAACACGAAAGTCGAGAGTCCGGGACGGTGGATCGGAGCTGTTCCGAGCGCATTCTTACGCGGTCCGTCACGTCCTCCGAATTCGCCGTGGAGAGCCGGCGGTCATCGTTCGATCGTTAACATTTGCGAATCCGCCGGCTCCTCTGCTCGCGTTCCCTTCGCTCGGCCGGGATAGACCGGCAACCTGTTCGGGGGATCGCAGGTGGAAAAAGGCGACCGGCGACCGTCGCTCGGCGGCGGTATCGTAACGACCAGTTGCCGATAATACGATAAGGTTCGGTCGGGTCGCGAAGTCGGCCAATGAGCCGCGGTGGGCAGTCCACGGCTACCTTCTCGCTGGTTGGACAACCCGATACTCCCACCCGATGCGCTCTCTCTCTCGCTCTCCCTCGCCTCTTTCTCGCTCTCTCACCTGGCCTTTCCGTTTCTTTCCCGCGGCGTGTACAGTCATAATCATAAGACCGGCCAGACCGTGCGACGCGAGGTCACGCGTTTCGCATCGATCGGCCAGAGTTTGCAGCCTCGAACGTTGCACAACCGAATCGCCGAAACCGCGCGGTTCGCTCCGTGGCACCGTGACACCCTTCGATGTGCACCTAGGATGTCCGCGGGCCGCGCGGCCCAAGCCAGTTTGCTCCCGATACGGCGCGTATTTCGGTCAGCCTCGGACTCGCGATGCTTATTTTCGGCGCGAACGTTGCTCGACCGTTCCGCCGACGATCAGTACCATCTCGCACGCGGGTTTACCCGCACGCGGTCGCGAATGCTCGCGCTTCTCGGCGGTGCCGGGAGTGCCGTATCCTGCGAACGCGAACAATTTCTTTCTTTCGCGCCGCAACGTCCCGTCGGCGTCGAACTTCCCCCGGAACTCGTTCCTCTCTCTCTCTCTCGCAATCCTCGAAATCGAGCGGATAGCGTAATCCCGCGTCCGCTTCGATTCGATCTACGCGGACGGAGCGATAAATTTAGTGGCCGGCTCTCGGAGTCACGCGCGCACTCCATCATCCTCGACCGCGACATCTCGATCCCCAACTTGCAAGACAGAAATAATTTTGTCCGGCTCTGATTTACCGCACGACCGACAACATTACCGAGATTCTGAGCACGGTTCCCGGAGGCTTTACACGAGCCGGGAAATACGGCCTGGCCGTAGGAGTTCATCGTCGGTTCAGCCTCGCGCCGTTTCACCGCGCGCCGTTTCCAATCCGGCGGCCACTTGTCGTTCCATCCGCCGACGCCGCCGCCGCGGCGGTGGCCGGATCGATCGATATACATGTATGTAAGCCCGAAACGAATTGTCCCGTCGAACCGTCGAAACGTTTGCGAGGCGACGCGCTAAACGCCCGATTTGTCACGGTCACAGCTGGCTGGAAATACGCCGCCAATTGGCAATGACACGCGTATCAGAAACGAAGCGCGACGACACGCACGAACCGCGAGCCGCCCACGCAGCCTCTCCCCCACGCTATTCAATCTTCTCTTCGCCGACGGCTCTAGCCCGATCGCGGCGAGATATTCGAGATATCGAGATATCGGCACGATGAAGGATCCGCGGGTTCCTCGCGGGTTTCAACGTTCACCGCGAAAGAATTCGAGATCGTTGCGCAACCCTCGGAATTTTAAGATGCCGCGCTATTCAGGCTTTCCGCTCTAATTGTATTAGGCGATGCGTTCGGTTCGATTGGATTTCATCAAGCCGCGTGCTTCGAATAATCGGCGAAGCGCTGCGGCGCCCCGGATACAGTGTGGAAACGGAAACCGCCGATCGATCTCGTCGCGAAAGCCTCCGTTCTTACGCTCGAGCGATCGCGAGCCACGGCGGAGCAATCTCGAGCCACGAATTCCTGAATGTTCTTTGGGAAAGGACGAACCGAAACGCGATCTAAACTCGCGGCCGCGAGCTAAACCCTCGCCGCGAATTTGTTCGGACATTCCGAGTCGCGCCGGCCTGTTTTTTACGCGCGCGCCGCCGATCGCGTCTCGCACTTTCTCGATATCGTTTCGATTTCATGGAAAAGACGGTTTTATCGGCAGCCACGGAACGCTAGCATCCGCTCGGAGAAAGCTCGAAGGAGCGGAAGGCGAAGGCAGAAGCGGCCGTCTCGTTGCTTTCTTTCCGTTTCGTTCGTGCCTTCTGTCGCGTGGCTGCTCAACGCGCGGCAGAGCAACAAGAGGATGATTTAGATTAAGTGCGCATATTTAGCCGGCACGATCCCTGTTGTGACTTTCGACTTCCGCTCGCTGTACATACTTTTTTTTCCACCCCGAGTTTCCCCTCCTCCGCCGTTCCCGTGCCCCTTCGCTTGACGAATTCCTTCGCCGATGGGGGCAGAGATCAACGGGGGAAGAGAAATTAGCGTGGCCGACGAATCGATAGGAACGGTCGATCCCTCGGTCCCCGTGCACGGAGGTTCCCGATTTCCTTCGCGTTTCCTTCGTATCCTCGATAGGGAAGGGTCTCGTCCGGACGGTGCGAGATATTCGAGGAATTCGACGATGGACCGAGCCAGCTCGCGTTCCTCTTCTGCTCGTCCTGCTGCTCGCGTTCCTCGTCCCATGCCTTCTTCTTCGGGGTTCTTTCGGCAGCCAGGGGACGGTCCGTTCCCCTTTTTCTCGCGCTCTCTGTCGAGAGAGCGTCGCTCTCTCTCCCTCTCTCTCTTTCACTCTTTCTTTCTCTCGCTCGACGGTCTCCGAGGCATCGAGGCTTCGAGGCTTCGAGGCTCGGAGGTTCCGAGGCATCCTAGCATGTACGAACCGACGCGGCGACGAGCCGAGCGAGGCCAGCTACGTTTGCTCTCTCGTCACTGTCTATCCGAGCAGACAGCGTGGAGCTGCCTTCGAGCAAAGTGAGTGCGTCTAATGAGGCAATAAATAAGTCGACCGCCCTAACCGGCCTCTCCACGCTTTTCGTTCGCGACGACGTGTCCATCCTCGAGTTCTTTTCTTGCATGCGCGTACGCGGACCAACTCTCCACCAACCCCTTCTCCTCCTTTCCCTCTTCCTTCTTCCTTCTTCCCCGTTCCTCCCCCTCGGAGCCAGGCGGCGAACACCGCGTCCGGTATCGATCCTCTTCCAGATTCCCCGAATTTCATCGACTCTCGAGCAAGTTCTCCCGCGAGACGAGCCCCGCGAGTCGCCGAGGCCGAGTTCTTGACCACTCCAACTCCATCGAACCGACGATCCGGTATTAATAGCCCGCGAACGAGCCGATCGGTCGGGAGACGAGAGACGCGTTCGCACTAATAACGTCGTAACGTTACTTGTTGCGAGACCGGCGCGCGGCGTATCGGGGCGGACCGCGCGGATCGGCCCGGTTTATTTGCGTTAGGAGAGGGCCAGCTAGCCGCGCGCTCGTTAAAGAGCCAAAGCAAATATTCCTCGGCTGTCATCCTTTGAACCGTAAGATCGGGACAGTGTCACCGCGGCGGGGCTCCTCCGCTCTTTTTCCACCTTTCCGGTTTCACCGCGTCGTTTTGTCGCATTGTTGCCCCGGCCACCGTCGAAAAACAGGAGAACGACTTTCCTCCTCCTCGCGGCCGCCGCCGGCTCTCCGGCCTCTCTCGGGACCGCCGGAGAAATTCGCTATTTTTAGCTCGCGCTAGTTCCTCGTTCGTTAGCACCGAGATAAGAGGATCGAGTCTCTTTCGCAACTTTCGACTTCGCGGCGGAGGAGAGTTCCCACGCGGGTTCCGAGAGCCCGGCGTGCCGACTTTTTCGAGAATCGATGATGGGGCCCGACCGTGTCCGGTTCCGGTCTGCTCGTGGGCGGAATGTCCAAGTTTTTGCCGGCCGTTGTTGGACGGGACGCGGGATCACCGGATGGTCCCGCGAGACGTTGCGCGCATCATATTCCGTCGTCGAACGAGACCCGGAGACACGGAGAACGGGGAGACACCGAGAAGCGTTCAGGGTTTTTTTCGGTTAACCTTTTAGGTACGGCTGAATTCTGGGCGAGGCTATTTCCCTGGATGGTAAATTCTGATATGTACTGTACAGAGTTTGATAATGTATATTCTGTCTGTGTATATACAGGGTGTCCCAAAAATGTTTCGCAATCCGAAAATGGCGTGTTCCTCGGGCCATTTGAAGCAACTTTTTCCTTTACACAAATTTTCTACGAGGCACCGTTAACGAGTTATTAACGAAAAACAGTGACCAATGAGAGGCAAGCTCGGCTGGCGCGAGGCGATCGAGCCTATGAGCGGAACTGGGCTTCGTGCGCTGGTCGTCTGGGCCGCCTCGCGTCAGCCGTACTCGATTCTTATTGGTCACTGTTTTTCGTTAATAACTCGTTAACGGTGCCTCGAAGACAATTTTTGTAAAAGAAGAAATTGCTTCAAATGATCCGAGGAATCCGCCATTTCCGGATTCCGAGACATTTTTGGGACACCCTGTATAACGCACGCAAACCCGGCGAACTTTTTAACTCATTTTTCTCGAGAACGGAGCCTTAACCTTTTAGGTACGGCTGAATTCTGCACGAGGCTATTTCTCTGGACGGCAGAGTCTGTTATGTACTGTACAGAGCGTCTGCATATTCTGTCTGTATATTGTTAAGATACAGTTATATTGTTAACAGTTATATTGTTAAGATAAGTCTGTGTATCGTAAATCGATGTGAAGACAAAAGAAGTGTGAAACAATGCATATGAAGACGATTATTTGATTCAAACGATGACCGAGTGAGCTACTAGAGCAAGCCACTATAGTGGCGCGTCGTCCAGAGAGATGACATCCGCGAAAGCCACCATAGTGACGTGTCGTTCTGAAAGATGACATCCGCGAAAGCCATTATAGTGGCGTGTCTTGCCTAAAAGGTTAAGAGGCGAGCCGCGGTTCGCAAGCGACCACAGCTTACCGTCCCGATCCCCGGTCCGCGAGAGTTTCTCGCGAGATTCTCGCGAGCTTCTCGCGAGATTCTTGTCCGCGTATCCGACGTTCTTGTCCTCGCTGTTCCAGTCGCCGTTCACGGCGAAGAATCCTCGCCCAAATGACGATGTCACCGGCGCAGGACTCTCCGCCTCGCCGGCCGTATTACCACGGACTTCTCCTCTTTCTTCTCGGTGTTCTTGTTCCTTCTGTTGTTCCTGTTCTGGTCGCGGTTCGTGCGGAACGAAAAGCGGCAGAGCCGTCGCTGGCCGCAACCAGCGTCGTACACGGGCGCGAGCAACCGTCCTTAACGGAATTATTGCCATTAAGGTCGTTGCATTCCCGAGAGGCCGTTGTGTACGCGCCCCGGCATCCAACCGACGCAGAACTAATGATCTTAATTAACGTTTCGTAACGAAGGTCGCTCGGACTGTCTTCCCGCCCCCTATCCTTTCCATCTGCCTTCTCTTCGACATTTCCCCTTTCCTTTCGTTTCGTCTCGTCCCGTCTCGTCTCGTCTCGTCTCGACCCGTCTCGTCTCGACTCGTCTCGTATCGTTTCTCTTCTTCCGATCGGTACACGGGTCCTCTTCTTCTGCCGGTTCTCGGACGTTTTTACGTCCGGATCCCGGTCTCGATCCTTCGTTCGTCCCTGTTCTTCTTGCTCTTCTTCTTCTTTCTGGTCCCGAAGGAGAGAACTCGCGGTTCCCACCGTGTCCGCGATTCCCTTCGACTCCGATTTCTCTTTTTGCTGGCCGTCGAAACGCTTCTTTCTTGCATCGACGAGGTCCGCCGCGCGTCCGTTTCTGGATAGTTCTTTGCTGGTTGCCTGTCACGAGTACAATGGCTTCAGAGATTTAATTACCGTAATGGCCGCGCCGTGTCCGAGTCCCTTTTGTTACTCTTTACCTATTCCGTCCCCCGGGCCACCCCCCCCCCCGGGGGCTTTCAGGGGGGGCTTCGATCTGATTCGACAGCGCCTCCCTCCCCCACCCCCTCGGAAAAACGTTTCCACGATCGAACCACCGAAACCACCTAAATGACGATCGGCCGCGATCTGATTCCAGGACCGTTGGCAATCAGCTGGTGATGGACCCGATGCTCATCTGCAAGAAAACCAGGAGGCTGAAGGGCAAGATGGCCGAGATCTGTCGCAAAGAGCCCTCGTTGCTCAAGGAGATCGCGAGGGGCGTGCAGGTCGGGACCAAGGAGTGTCAGTATCAGTTTCGGAATCGCAGGTGGAACTGCACCACGATCAGAAGGTCCCTGAGGAAGATTCTGCTGAGGGGTGAGTGACGAGAATACCGTGACAACGTGCGAACGGTTCGAGTTCGCGAGCGGTTAGACTTTCCACCGATGTGGATTACAATAATGTCTCTCTAATCGACGCTCGGATTGTCCACAAAAATGGACGATTTTGGAAGAGGAGATACGATCGTACGAGCCTCGTGGCTCTATTTGTACGGTCACCGATTGTCAACAACTATAAAAACGAGCCGCAAGGATCGAATAATCGTATCTCCTTTTCCGAAAATGTCCATTTTCCTGCATAATCTATGCGTCAATTATGGAGACATTGCTGTACTTCGTTTCGATTCTCTGCGATCCTACTAACGACTTATTAGCGACCTATTAACTTATTTGTTGTATTTTAAATAGCGAAAACAAAAACAACGCGCGGAACGAAACGAATCGAAGCGAAACAAGCACGGTGATAACGCACGAGTACGCGATAAAGAAAAAGTGGTAAAAATGTAGAAAGATAATTTTGATGGATGTAAACCACGGGGCCGAAATAATTAAGAGAATAAGCGTCTACGCACTTGTAATCCGAATAGGTTGCTATTAACCCTTATCGTTCCAACTGACAGTAAAGCTGCCAATCTTTAAGCCAGCGCTCCAGCGTCCTATAAAATTCTTGGAGCGATAAGGGATAATACCGGCAACTTAGTGCTAAAATTATTGGCAAGTATACAGGTACGACGGAAAGGATCGTTATTTTTAACGTCGGTAAAATAGAAAGAAGGCTTGAAGAGGAGAAGAAGCATCGTTGCTCTGGAAATCAATGCATGATGTGACTGGAGGATTACTCGCTATTCCGTAAATCGATTTATTTATTTATCGAAGTACAGTAATGTCTCTCTTACTGATGCTCAGATTGTCCACTAAATTGGATAATTTAGGAAGAGGAGATACGATTATTCGAGACTTGCGGCTCGTTTTTGTAATCGTTGACAATTCGTTACTATAAAAACAAACCACAAAGCTCGAATAATCGCATCGCTTCTTCCCAAATTGTCCATTTTTGTGTACAATCTAAGCGTCAATTAGAGAGACATTACTGTATCACCAGTCTCGATAAACTGAGAATGAAACGCATCTCGACTTTTGCGCAGCTTGCGGACAATCTTGGCGGAGGGTAGTACAGTAATTTCACTCTAATTCGCGCTCAGATTGCGCACAAAAATGGACAGTTTGAGAAGGGTCGACACGATTATAACCTTGAGGCTCGTTTTTACAGTTAAAAACATTTCGCAAAATTCTTTAGAGACTTTTCGAGCAGAGACTTTCCGCGCCCGAGCAGTTTCTGTACCTTCTGGACGATCTTGACAGAGAATGCTATCTCTGGCCTCTAGAGTTTTGCGCGACTCGTAGGTGGCATCGGTGACGCACGGTGCTATCACCAGTCTCGATAAACTGAGAATGAAACGCATCTTGAGTTTTGCGCAGCTTGAGGGCAATCTTGACGGAGGGTAGTATAGTAATTTCTCTCGAATTCGTGCTCAGATTGCACACAGAAATGAACAATTTGGGAAGAAGAGATACGATTACTCGAGCCTTGCAGCTCGTTTTTACATTTCTCGACAATTCGTAACTGTGAAAACGAACCGCAAGGCTCGAATAATCGCATCCCCTCTTCGAAAATTCTCCATTTTTGTGGACAATCTGAGCGTCAATTAGAGAGGCATTACTGTATCGGTCTAAATTACACGAGAAAACGAAAAGATTTAAAAGACCGTAGAACGTACGCGACACGTGACATACGAACAAGGTTGCAAAGCTGTCCTCCGCCTGTTAAGCAATGTCGCTTTATATCCACGTATCCACTGAAAAAAATGCAGATTCTAATTCCGGACAGTGCTTTTATTGTAATGAGACCGCAGGCGACCGGACGAATTGCCTCCGGAAGAGATTCTCCGCAGGGCCCGTTTCGCTCTCGAGCTTCGCCTTGACATTGATCGCTCTATTCGAGACTCGAGACGAATCGCGGTCGATCGTGTATCGGCGTCCTTGCTAGCGAATCCCGAACGGCGGCTGTTGTTGGTTGCGCAATACGATCGATCGGTCCCAACGATTTCGAGAATCGTTCGCGTACACGCATCGACATCGTTGCGGCCGTAGGATCGCGTGTCGCCTCGCCCTTCGGGATCCGTAGGCGGCGCAAACGCGCCGCTTTTCGGTCGTTCTTCCTTTTTTCCACGGCGACTCCGGCGCGGAGGGCGTTCCATTTCGCAAGATACGTTCAATTATCACGGTAGACTTTACGGCAAGACGAATTGTCCCCTCGACGAACGTCTACCGTGCCGGGAAGCGCCGGGAGCGCTCGCGAAAAAAGCGTAATCCCGAGCGAACGATTTTCTCGGAATCGAAACGATCTCTTCCCCCGCCCACCTGTTGGCCGGTTAGAATTTCGTGACGGTAAATGGAACAAATCGATCGAGCGATCGAACTCGGGTTGTTGCGCGAGGCAAGATTCTCACGCGGCTGGATTAGCGCGCGTTCCGAGCCAGAACGAGAAGGAGAACGAACCTGTCCGCGTGGCTCGCTTAGTTACCCGTCCGATGTATTAATTCCGGGTGATCGAGCACGACAACTAAATCGAAGACAGCGTGTCCAATAGGCCGAACTGCTCTCTAGGTTCCGCTATCAGATCGGTGCCTTTTGGTAGCTTGACAGATTGACACTGTCCGTCGGATATTAGTGGCAATATGTTCCCTTAATTAAAGGCTTCATTGCCGGACAAGTCCTGTCCTCGAGGACCGTTCCGTCTCGTCTCGTCTCGTCTCGTCTCGTCTTCTTCTCTTGCGCCGTTCGTTCTCTGGTCTCTCGGCCCCCCGTCCCCCGACCCCCGTTGTCTCTTCAGCTCCCTTTTCGACATCCCCCGTTAGCCAGGATCGCGAGATTACCATCGATCCTGTCGATCGTGGTTGCTGCGCGGACCCGATGCGATTCGTCGGCGGGCCAAGGGCCGAGCTGCCCACAACCACCATCGCACCGACGCGTGGATTCCACGATGGACGATCGATGATCGAATTATATCCGACACTGTCGGCGATGCCTGACGATCGCCGCTCCTCTCTCCCGCTCTCCGAGATTCCTGGCGATACGGTTCGTCGTATTATTTCACGACCGGACTCTCTCGGCCGTCTCTCTTTCTCTCTCTCTCTCTCTCTCTCTCTCTCTCTCTCTCTCTCTCTCCCTCTCTCTCTCTCTAGAGAGAGCCGCGCCGGGATTAATTAACCCCGGCCCTCTCGCCCGCCCCCCTCCCTCCCCCGACGCAACCCCGGTTTAATATTTGCTGCGCGCGATCTTTCCGCCGTACCATGGAATTCGCGGAATCGGATTCCGATACCGCACACGCGGTTCGACGCGGCTCGTCGCTGCGGGACGCGGCGGGACGCGGCGGGACCCGGCGGGACCCGGCGGGACGCGCAGACGAGTCTTCCGACCGGACCGACGGGACTCTAATTTGCGTTCCACCTGGCGCTTACGAGCTCCCCCCATCCCACAAAAACGATACCACGCCGTAAAGACGACAAAGTCCGATTATATTATGCTTCGTATGGGAATCGTAAAGTTCCTCGCGGCGGCTGCGTCGTAAACGACCAACAAGCTTCCGTTGCTACCGATTTTCCCCGCGCGATTCCCTTGTAATCGTAAACGTGCCTGTCGCGCGCGTAACATCGGCTCCGTTGTAATTAGCCGATCGGTCGGTTCGCGCTCGCTTCGCTTTCCGTCGGCGTTCCGTTTGCGTGCCGTCGGGAAAGCTCCGAGGCTTTCCGGGCCATCGGAACGGTAGTCGCTCGGTTTCGGTGCTCGGTTCGGGGGAAAAAAAGGTTGAACGGCAGGTACATAAATCTCGACCGGCGGCCTCGGATGCGTTATTGTCCGGCGTGGATCGATGACAGGAGCGACGATGTGTTAACCGGTCGTTTCGGGTGACAATCCCGGACGTCGTCATTTATCTGCTACTCCGGGCGAAGACAGCCTCGCCCTGGGAAGTCCGCCGCAAGAAAAATATACGAGTTTTTGGGCCACCCTCGGCGACGTCGGGCCAGCAAACACGGCATTGTGTTCGCGGGGGTCGCAAACGCGCGAACGCGCGAACGCCCCTGCGTATTTGTAAATAATTCCGGAGGATCGCTTAACCCTTTAGGCACGACGCGCAACTATAGCGGCTCGCTCTAGTAGTTCACTCGCTCACCGTTTTAATTAACTTTTTGGGCACGACACGCCACCATAGTGGCTTCCGCGGATGTCACCTCTCTGAACGACGCGCCACTATAGTGGCTTACTCTGGTACAGGGGTGTCAAACTCGCGGCCCGAGATGAACATTTTTGCGGCCCAGTCAATATATCCGACGCAAAGTAAAAATAAAATAGAAATAGTCTCGGCCAATAAAATTTCTCCCGAAATAGGAAAGATAGTATCAGAGAAGAGATGTCAAGTATCAGGACGCAAACAATAATTTAACTTTATATACGTTTATTACAATGTACTAGTCAAAATAAAAATATTTGTTTCTATGAACATTGATTTTTTTTTGCGGCCCACCTAATGTTAAGCATTGTTTATTTGGCCCAAGTTAGCTTTTGAGTTTGACACCCCTGCTCTAGTAGCTCACTCGGTCATCGTTTGAATCAAATAATCGTCTTCGTACGCATTGTTTCACACTTCTTTTGTCTTCACATCGATTTACAATATACAGACTTATCTTAACAATATAACTGTTAACAATATAACTGTATCTTAACAATCTACAGACAGAATATACAGACACTCTGTACAGTACATATCAGACTATGCCGTCCAGAGAAATAGCCCCGCGCAGAATTCAGCCGTACCTAAAAGGTTAAATAATCGTCTTCGTACGCATTGTTTCACACTTATTTTGTCTTCACATCGATTTACAACAATGTTAACAATATACAGACGGAATACATACAGTATCAGACTCTGTACTCGCGCAGAATTCAGCCGTACCTAAAAGGTTAACCTTTTAGGCC